ACTTAACATATTCCATATTTTACTTGAGAAACATGCACCAGATGGAATGATAGAGCAGTGCATGACAAACATGACTCTTAATACACCCACTATTAAAAACGCCGTGCCTCCGATCAGACAATAGGCAGCCCTATGCGAACCCTTTGTCTTCAACTCGACAGGAATATCAGAGCGGTTATTAGAGGAGGATGTGAAATGATAGCTGTGTTGCAGGTTGACCCCCGAGGGCATGGGCTGTCTCTGGGAACAGATGTGCCACCCACTCGCAACAGTTGTACTCTTCCCACAATGCCCTGGTGGGAGTAACTTGGGCTAGGAGAGGACAAGATAATGCTGTGTGTGTGTGTGTAAACTGCATCGGTGTTTGCGTTTGTGACCGGGGCGCATCTTGGGAAAGGTGTCGAAGGTCGGAGATTTTTCAAGGTAATCGCAGGCCGATTGGGAAGATAAATGGTGTCCCTTTTTGGAAGCAATAGTGCATTTGTTTTTTATAGGAGTGGGAATCTTTTGGGTCACGATTAGATTTAAAATCAATTCTCAATTTGAATCCAATTTCACTTCGATATATGCATGTATTTAAAATCTATGATCAAATCCACATTGCTTCACCCTTTGCATTTGTGACCGGGGTGCATCTTGGGAAAGGTGTTGAAGTTCGGAGATTTTCAAGGTAATCGCAGGCCGATTGGGAAGATAAATGGTGTGACTTTTTGGAAGCAATAGTGCATTTGTTTTTTATAGCGGTGGGAATCTTTTGGGTCACGATTAGATTTAGAATCAATTCAATCAAATTTCACTTCGATATATGCATGCATTTAAAATTTATGATCAAATCTACATTGCTTCACCCTTTGCGTTTGTGACCGGGGTGCATCTTGGGAAAGGTGTTGAAGTTCGGAGATTTTCAAGGTAATCGCAGGTCGATTGGGAAGATAAATGGTGTCCCTTTTTGGAAGCAATTGTGCATTTGTTTTTTATAGCGGTGGGAATCTTTTGGGTCACGATTAGATTTAAAATCAATTCTCAATTTGAATCAAATTTCACTTCGATATATGCATGTATTTAAAATCTATGATCAAATCTACATCGCTTCTCCATTTGTAATTGGGACTGGGGCGCATCTTGGGAAAGGTGTCGAAGGTCGGAGATTTTTCAAGGGAATCGCAGGCCGATTGGGAAGATAAACGGTGTCCCTTTTTGGAAGAAATAGTGCATTTTTTTTTTCGCAGTGGGAATCTTTTGGGTCACGATTAGATTTAAAATCAATTCTCAATTTGAATCAAATTTCAATTCGATATATGCATGCATTTAAAATCTATGATCAAATCCACATTGCTTCACCGTTTGCGTTTGTGACCGGGGTGCGTCTTGGGAAAGGTGTTGAAGTTCGGAGATTTTCAAGGGAATCGCAGGCCGATTGGGAAGATAAACGGTGTCCCTTTTTGGAAGAAATAGTGCATTTTTTTTTTCGCAGTGGGAATCTTTTGGGTCACGATTAGATTTAAAATCAATTCTCAATTTGAATCAAATTTCAATTCGATATATGCATGCATTTAAAATCTATGATCAAATCCACATTGCTTCACCGTTTGCGTTTGTGACCGGGGTGCGTCTTGGGAAAGGTGTCGAAAGTCGGAGACTTTTCAAGGTAATCACAGGTTGATTGGGAAGATAAATGGTGTCCCTTTTTGGAAGCAATAGTGCATTTGTTTTTTATAGCGGTGGGAATCTTTTGGGTCACGATTAGATTTAAAATCAATTCAATCGAATTTCAATTCAATATATGCATGTATTTAAAATTTATGATCAAATCTACATCGTTTCTCCGTTTGTAATTGGGACTGGGGCGCATCTTGGGAAAGGTGTCGAAGGTCGAAGATAAATGGTGTCCCTTTTTGGAAGCAATAGTGCATTTGTTTTTTATAGCGATGGGAATCTTTTGGGTCACGATTAGATTTAAAATCAATTCTCAATTTGAATCAAATTTCAATTCGATATATGCATGCATTTAAAATCTGATCAAATCTACATTGCTTTGCCATTTGTGATTGGGACTGGGGCACATCTCGGGAAAGATGTCGAAAGTCGGAGGCTTCCCACCAGGTCAAAACTTTGGGGTAATTACAGGGAATGGTGCAAGTAAAAGTGCATTTTTAAGCACACAGAAATGACCATTTGCATCGTTAATGTAGTCGGAAGCGACTCACCAAAGGCCAATCTCGAGACTAAGACGTTTCATTCCCGCGTCATTAAATTGGATGCACTGGGTGACAGCTTGACTCTTGGGGAACATGGCCAGACTGATGAAATGAGATCATAAGCGAGATAAGCGTTGTGAGTGCAGGGACTAAGTGGAATGAACGCTGTTGACACATGAACTGAGCAGTTGCACACGACTTTGTGCGGAAATTCGTGTGTCAATACAGTCGCTCATTTTCTCTGATCCCTTCCCACAGTCCCACACCCCACCGGCTTGCCTCTGTACGCCAGCGACTGGGAGTGGATTATTGGAGTCTTTGGGTTCGCAATCACCTATTTTGCTCAACTTCCTCGTGCCTTCCTTTTATTTCCAGGTGTATTGTTTTTGATCCGAGGTGCTTATTCGCTGTGTTGTGGCAGCGAGCAGTTAATTGTGTTTTATTGTCCGGGTGTTTTGCCAAAACCCAGCAGGTTGTCTTTAGATAATCACAAACTTCCACTCACGACTACAAAAAAAAATGACTTATTAAGAGTTTCATCCATAAACTTGGTGTGGGGTTTTGCCACTTGCTAAGGAATCTCATATAAAAAGCTTTAATTCGTCCAGCTCATCATCAGTGTTTAAGGTGGATGCGTCACGTCACGTCCTCTGTGACCATTTCCAAGCAAGGCGAACAGAAGGGACCACATTGATCAGCTTCGCCTTCCTCCCCCTGCTTATTTATTTAATCTTTTCAGAGCTAGATTTGTAGATTCATTCAAACTCTTGAGATCCCGTGTGTGTTATTCCCAGAGGGCAGAAATTAATTCCTCCTCCTTGTCGTCGTCCTCCTCCTCCTCTCTTTCAGCACTAAGGTGCAGTGGGCTCTCTTTCTCTCCCCTCCGAGAGAATGCCGAAGAGGAGGAACCAGTCCTGAGGGAATCTTGTCTATATAGTTTAATCCGCTGCTATGTTGAATGGTTCATAGGGAATAAAAGACAAAGCTTTTGTTTATGATTCTAATATTAGCCTCTTGGCATTTCTTATATAAATGAGAGCCTGCCCTACGGCAGCACTATTGATTTCCCACATCCACAAAAGTCAGCCTCCGTCCTTGCAAAATAAGGCTCAAGAGATTAGCGAGCTGAATTTCTGTTATTTTTGTCAGATTGACCGCTAATATGAATAATTCAGGTTGCATCACCGCTTTGTGGACTTTGGTTTGCTAAGAAGAGCAAGTCTTCCCATATTAGTTAATGATGAGGTCGTAGACCCTAAAAAACTAAAGTTTAGAGCCTTACACATTGCAGATTTGCTTTATTAATGCTTCTGTCGGGTATACTTTTTTTTTTCTTGTTTTTCTTCGCAATGAACTCAATTTATTCAAATCCTCGTCGTACAGACACATCGACGCGTAATCTTAGGGTTCGTTTCCCATTTCAGGCTCGCAAATGACTGTATTAAGGTAATAAACAGCAGAACTTTGTCTACATTAGAATCATTAAAAAACATATTAATCGTAATGCAGATTTGCATTTCAGAAAACCAAGGACAAAGGCTCCCCGGCTCTTTTATTTTGAGGAAGCGCTTGGCAAATCAGCGACAGGTCTTGGAACGAAAGAACGACAGGAAAAGATAGAACCGTAATCCCAATCAATGCACTTCATAAAGCACCTTCCTCCTAAAATGTGTGACTAATGTGCGCAAATCTCCGGGTTTAAAAGCTGTCAGCGGAGATGGCTGGAGTTGTTGCTTTGCCATTCATCTCCCCAACGTAATAAACCGACTCGTTTGTTTGTTCTGTTTGCTTTCTTCCTTTCGTTTTGTCTTTCGTCTGAGCAAATGTACCTTGAGGTCTTGTGTAGGGTTTCCCTTTTCAAGCTGAGCTTCGACAAGCCTGCGTGCTTCGTGCTTCCGTAATGACATTAAACAGGAACATTTAAAGGGCTTTCGGCGAGAGCCGCATTGTCTGCTCTGAAGGCTTCCAGAAAGGGCTTTTATTATGTTGTGGATTTAATGCCAGTGTGTGTTACCTGATAACATTAAAGCAGAGACGAACGAAGCGGGAATATTCCCACGCTGGCAGAGCTTCAAGAATATTGACCACCAACAGGATTTCAGCTGATGCTGGGCATGTATATTCATGGGCCCGGAGTTATATCTGGGGAGGTTTAATTCATTAGCTAGCTTTTGAGTCGCGGGGTTAGTGTGCCGGTTTCGAGCTGGATAAATGTTGGATGGATGCGGCGGGCGCTCGTTTTGCTGAGCTCTCCCGGCGATCTTCGAGTTCTGTTGAAACAATGACGCATTAGTGAAGTATTGTGTTCCCCGGGGCGCGTTAAATGCGTCTTGCTTTGTTTTAAAACTCATTTGAGCAGCTCAATCAGGGGACGTCGAATGTGGACTTGTTCAGGTGTGCTTTTGCTTTTTTTTTTTTGTAAGTAAATTAAACCGATAAAATGAAGTTTACTTCCAGTTGAATTGATGATTCCCGCAAACCTGGGAAAACTAGTCATTTTCACCGACCGGCGTGTTGGAGGTAGAAATAATGACAGTGTTTCAGACTTGTTTGATCATCCCTAGCAAATCTGAATGGTAAATTTATTCCGCAGGTGTTGCACATGGAATAATGTTTTAGCATAATGAGGATAAGATGTTGATGGGGGTACAGTACTCGGATGCTCAGTATTTTAGACACAAAAAGCCCCCCGTCATTGATCCATGCTGAATGCCAACGATATATTCACTCCGAGGTTCTTGTTAACCACCAAAAGTTGCGTTTGTGTTCTTTTGCAGGAGTGAAGATTCATCTGCAGGTTGTATAATTGCTGGAGCTTCTCATTATGGCTGAGGCCTGAAACGCAGGTACGCTTCTTACAGGTCAGTGTTGCATTCTCCGGTTTTCTCCATACTATCCATCCTAGGTGGTATGCAAGATTAAAATAAGTGTGTCCCAAAGCATAGTATGTTGAAAAGAGTATGTCAGAAGTCTACTAATCCATCCAAGTGTGGATGCATGCTCACAATAACAGCTAATATTACCCACAACCCATTGCGTTTTGGTGGAGGAACTACAAACATGAGTTAAAAAGTGTTGAAACTACAAAATGGCGGATATTCGCGGCTGACGGTGAGATAAAGGGTTCGAGTGACTAATAGAAAAATATTTATTTAATGTTATCCGTGTTATATTTCATCTGCAATAACGAACTATTTGGCCTTTAACTTTTAAAGAAGTAGTTCACTTTAAAAAAAACTTTTGCTGATGATTTACTCACCCCTGTGTCATCCAAGATGTCCATGTCTTTCTTTCTTCGGTCGAAAAGAAATGAAGGTTTTTGATGAAAACATTCATATAATGGACTTCAATGGGGTCCAAACGGTTCAAGGTCCAAATGAGAGTTTCAGTGCAGCTTCAAAGGGCTTTAAACGACTCCAGACGATGAATAAGGGTCTTATCAAGCGAAACGAGCGCTCATTTAAAAAAAATAGTTTAAGTTTTATAAGCGCAAATGCTCGCCTTGCTCTGTTCTGTGACGCGCGTTCGTGACTCTCCCGTTCATCAAAATGAACAAATCTTTTTTCGTGTCATTTGGTTGATTCAACAAACGAAATGAACAAATTGACTCTTTTGATGAACGACTTCGAACAGGAGCATCACAGAACAGAACAAGGCAAGAATTTGAGCTTATAAAACTTAAACTTTGTTGTTTTTGTTTTTTTGAAATGAGCGCTCGTTTCACTTGATAAGACCCTCATTTCATCGTCTGGTGTCGTTTAAAGCCCTTTGAACAGTTTGTAGTTTGCACTGAAACTGTCTTTTGGACAGCATCATGTGGATAAGATTTGACGCTTGCGTACAGTAAAATTGAATTTTATTATAGTGCACTGTATGTTTCACCAGTGACCCTTTTGACCTTTTTTTTCCCTCCTAATACAGGTTGACTGCATGGCATTGATTGCTCACGTGATTATCTTGAAAAAATATTTCCAGATCCGAGCACCCATGAAGAAAAGATGGCAGCATAATGGCTGGAGAACTCTATCGCCCCTTTGAGTCTTGAGGTGAATCACCACCACAGCGTCGCAAACACACATTAAACATACAAAGGGACGGCGTTTGAAATGTTAACCAAGTCTGTATTTTTTACCATGTATTTTTTTTTCCAAATCCTGCGCAAAAACGTCACTAATTTGGAGACAAATAACAGGACAATGACATAAACACACAGGCTGCCGGTCCAATCAGGGACTCTCAATTGCTTTTATAGTCTAAACGCATTGCTCATCCAGATGGGGTGCCGAACTCACGTGCGTTTATCTCGCCCATATTACTCTATTATCCTGGTAATATGAAGCAGAGCTAGTAAAGACTCAGGAAACTCTTCACTCGGGTGTAAATTACAGAGGCGCCTGGGGTGTTCTCGACCCTCTCTCGCTGGCACCTCGCCCCGTCTCACGTACGAGACAATGACTATTACCCGACACACCTGGGTTCTGGGCCTCACAATCTTCTTAATATCTTTTAAATCTTCACATAAGGTATGCCTTCCATAGGGCTTACAATACCATTTGCTCTAATAAACTCTTTTGGCAGAGGTGCATGCAAGCTGCTTTCGGCGGCCCCCGGAGAGAAGAGCGAAGCGCGGAGGGCGAGGCATCCCGAAATATGAGGATAAATCGCAGGTAATCCTGCAGGACCGGAGCACTGGTAATCAACACTCGTCCAACTGGAAACATTTTACAATTCTTCATCTTAATTTAACTCTTTATCTTTACCTGGTAATTCTTATAGCAGCAGGTGCACTGGTGTTTTGAAAGGGATGCGAGACGGAGAGGGGGGCGATAAGCAAATCAAATTAATGACAATGAGTGTTTGTGGAGAGAAGGCAGGCAGAGAGCTTGTTTGAGCCCATCGTGCGTGCCATGTTAAACACTTCACTCGCCGTGGAGGGGCTAATCCAGTCTCCGACAGCTAGCTGATTATACGAATAAACTACACGCGCTCGCGTCGAGAGATGGGAGCGTCCCTCGTTAACGTTCAAGCTCACTCCAACGAGGAAGTAATTAAGACGCCACCCCCCCCAAAAAAAAGATTTTAAGTGTTGTCTAATAGACCGGCTTGAAGGTGTTTATTTTATATTGTCTCGGTGCAGAAGTCATTATGCGGTTGAAGGGGGCTTACGAGGAGCTAAACGCAGCGAGGCGAGTTTGAGGAACGTCTGATGCTCCCGGCTCCACAGTTGCAGAAGCATATGAACTGTCGCTTGTTGTTTTAAATAATAGATTGCCTTCCCTAAATTCATGCCTGATATTTTTGGCAGAGTCGAGAGTCTTTTGGATGGGCAGCATCTGTCAGACTTCGACGCAGGCCAGGAAAACACTCCCCACCCGAGCCGGATGTACAGCACAGTCGTATTGCAGGTGATGCTTCAGCTTTCTGTCGATTTAAAGGAGTAGTTCACTTTTAAAAAAAAAACTTTTGCTGATGATTTACCCGCCCCCATGTCATCCAAGATGTCCACGTCTTTTTTTCTTCAGTCGAAAAGAAATTAAGGTTTTTGATGAAAACATTCATATAATGGACGTCAATGGGGACCAAATTAGAGTTTCAGTGCAAACTGCAAACCGTTCAAAGGGCTTTAAATGATTTCAGACGACGAATAACTGAAACGATCGCTCATTTAAAAAAAATTTTTATAAGCACAAATGGTCGTGTTCGTGACTCTCCTGTTCGAACTTCGTTTATCCAAAGGAACGAATCTTTTTTCGTGTCATATGGTTCATTTAACGAACGAAATGAACGAGTTGACTCGGGAAAAGATTTGTTCATTTTGATGAACGAGTTCGAACAGGAGAGTCACGAACGATTTTGATGAAAACATTCATATAATGGACTTCAATGGGGTCCAAATGAGAGTTTCAGTGATAAACTAGGGCTTTAAATGAGTTCAGACGATGAATAAGTGAAACGATCGCTCATTTAAGAATAAATGACAAAGTTTAAGTTTTATAAGCACAAATGGTCGTGTTCATGACTCTCATGTTTGAACTTGTTTATTAAAATGACCAAATCTTTTTTCGTGTCATATGGTTCATTTAACGAATTGAAATGAACGAGTTGACTCGGGAAAAGATTTGTTCATTTTGATGAACGAGTTCGAACAGGAGAGTCACGAACGTTTTTGATAAACACTCATATAATGGACTTCAATGGGGTCCAAATGAGAGTTTCAGTGCAAACTGCGAACGGTTCAAAGGGCTTTAAATGATTTCAGACGATGAATAAGTGAAATGATCGCTCATTTAAAAATAAATAACAAAGTTTAAGTTTTATAAGCACAAATGGTCGTGTTCATGACTCTCCTGTTTGAACTTGTTTATTAAAACGAACAAATCTTTTTTCGTGTCATATGGTTCATTTAACGAATTGAAATGAACGAGTTGACTCGGGAAAAGATTTGTTCATTTTGATGAACGAGTTCGAACAGGAGAGTCACGAACGTTTTTGATAAACACTCATATAATGGACTTCAATGGGGTCCAAATGAGAGTTTCAGTGCAAACTGCAAACGGTTCAAAGGGCTTTAAATGATTTCAGACGATGAATAAGTGAAATGATCGCTCATTTAAAAATAAATAACAAAGTTTAAGTTTTATAAGCACAAATGGTCGTGTTCATGACTCTCCTGTTTGAACTTGTTTATTAAAATGAACAAATCTTTTTTTCGTGTCATATGGTTCATTTAACGAATTGAAATGAACGAGTTGACTCGGGAAAAGATTTGTTCATTTTGATGAACGAGTTCGAACAGGAGAGTCACGAACGTTTTTGATAAACACTCATATAATGGACTTCAATGGGGTCCAAATGAGAGTTTCAGTGCAAACTGCGAACGGTTCAAAGGGCTTTAAATGATTTCAGACGATGAATAAGTGAAATGATCGCTCATTTAAAAATAAATAACAAAGTTTAAGTTTTATAAGCACAAATGGTCGTGTTCGTGACTCTCCCGTTCGAACTTGATTATTAAAACGAACAAATCTTTTTTTCGTGTCATTTGGTTCATTTAACGAACGAAATGAACGAGTTGACTTAGGAAAAGATTTGTTCATTTTGATGAACAGGAGAGTCACGAACGTGCATCACAGAACAGAGCAAGGCGAGCGTTTGTGCTTATAAAACTTAAACTTTGTTTGTTTTTTTAAATGAGGGCTCGTTTCGCTTGATTAGACCCTTATTCATCGTCTGGTGTCCTTTAAAGCCCTTTGAAGCTGCACTGAAACTCTCATTTGGACCCCATTGAAGTCCATTATATGAATGTTTTCATTAAAAAAACATTTCTTTTCGACTGAAGAAAGAAAGACATGGACATCTTGGATGACATGGGGGTGAGTAAATTATCAGCAAAAGGTTTTTTTAAAAAGTGAACTACTCCTTTAAGAAGTTTCAGATTCTTTTTGAGCACTTTTGTCATTGGTCTGCGTTGTAATCGAGGGTTAAGTAGTTTAACAGTGATTACAGTGAAGTGATATTTGATTATTATCTCCTGAAACGGCAACTCCTCCAGCTTTCTGTTCTCTTAACAATAGTTTAATTGTTAGTTTGGACACCCACTCAATAGACGGGCGAAATGAAGAGCAGTAATGGAAAGGAATTATGGGGGGAAATGGCATGAAATGAATACATTTTCAAAAGCACCCGCATCTCTATTTTTTTTTTTTTAATGAAATATATTTTGATTAGTCAGGAGAGCATCTTTACCGTGATTCATTCAATCAATAACACGTTTGATTTTTAAAAGCACCTTTGCTGAGATCTATTTTGAATGAGTTTTATCATTTTATGACGATCACTTTGTGCTTCTGCTGCAGTGTGAAATGAAGGTTTCTCCATGTGTACCTCTGTTTCCTTATATTATGTTATAATTACAGTTTTGCTTTATTATTTTGTGTGTATATATATATATATATATATATATTAGGGGAGTAACAATGTATTGTGCCACAATATATCGCAATACAAAAAAATGCAACAATATGTATTGTGGATTGTTTCCCCAAAATAAAAATTACTCTGTGAGAAAAAAAATAGTTTTAGTGTCAGTACTACAATTAACTGCTATTCATAATCATAATGTTGGTTTTAATGTATAATAATGCAATGGGGAATATTTGTGGGTCCTGATAATGCCAAATGTCTGATTTTACCAGTAAAAGTGGCCAACATTATTTATCTAATCAGTGAAAGAGTTTAAGCATATTCATCTAAAATAATTCAGTTTTTCAGCTTCAGAATCATGAATATTGTTATTCTGGTGTTACCACTGTCCTTGGGTTAAAGGCACCGAGTCCAAACCTATTCAATTAAACCCACAATGTAATATCAAAGTCAGCATTTTAATCAACCGTGCATTTTTTTTTTTCTTAACCTTTTATCATGTGTCTTGGAGTATCGCAATAATATCGTATCGCGAGTTATATCGAATCGTGACATGAGGTTATCGTTACACCCCTGAAAAAAAAATATATATATATATAAAATATATATACTGTATGTAAGCATTAAGGTGATTAGAGTGATTTCTGAAGGATCATGTGACACTGAAGACTGGAGTAATGATGCTGAAAATCACAGGAATAAATTACACTTGACTATAGAAAACAGCTATTTTAAATCGTAATAATATTTCACAATTTTACTGTACTTTTTGATCAAATTACTTGACTTGGTGACTCTTTTAAAAACATTTAAAAATGTTGCTGACCCCAAACTTTTGAATAGTAGCGTATGCACGTGATTCATTCTGATCCATTCAATCATGTGTCGTCAAATCAGCATTTAAAGATTAGTTCACTTTAAAAAAAAAAAAACATTTGCTGATAATTTATACACCCCCATGTCATCCAAGATGTCCATGTCTTTCTTTCTTCAGTCGAAAAGAAATGAAGGTTTTTGATGAAAACATTCCAGGATTTTCTCCATATAATGGACTTCAATGGGGACCAAATGGTTCAAGGTCCAAATGAGAGTTTCAGTGCAGCTTCAAAGGACTTTAAACGACACCAGATGATGAATAAGGGTCTAATCAAGCGAAACGATCGGCCATTTAATAAATAAATAAAAAAAGTTTAAGTTTTATAAGCACAAATGCTCGCCTTGCTCTGTTCTGTGATGCGTGTTCGTGACTCTCCTGTTCATCAAATGAACAAATCTTTTTTTGAATCATTTGGTTCATTCAACAAACGAAATGAACGAATTGACTAGGAAAAAAGATTTGTTCATTTTGATGAACGAGTTCGAACAGGAGAGTCACAGAACAGAGCAAGGCGAGGAAAACTTTATTATTATTATTTTTTTTAAATGACCGATCCTTTCGCTTAATAAGACCCTTCATCATCTGGAATCATTTAAAGCCCTTTGAACAGTTTGCACTGAAACTATCAACCGTTTGGACCCCATTGAAGTCCATTCTACGAATGTTTTCATCAAAAACCTTAATTTCTTTTCGACTGAGGAAAGAAAGACATGGACATCTTGGATGACATTGGGGGTGAGTAAATTATCAGCAAAAGTTTTTTTTTGAAGTGATCTACTCCTTTAAGTGACTAAAGGCGCAATATAAAATTGTGTTGGATATTTATTGTCAGTGTAACGGTGTGGGAAACACTGATGCTTCAGTAAAGGCAGTCTCTCTGGCCAGGGGCAAATGTCCCTCCCCCTTGGCCTCGCTAGGGCCAGAATTCCTCCACGTGTGTGTGTTTGTGTTTGTGTGTGTGTGTGTGTGTTGCGCTGGGATTGCTTCAGACAAAGGTGTCTCACTTGCCAGCCGCATCCCCACACCACCTAAAGCGCCACATTTGTTCCCCTTCGCTCGTCCACCAGGGCGGCGCTGAAGTGGCCCTCGGGACACTGGAGAGTGAATAAACATTTTCATGCTTTTTTTGTGTCTTTTCCAAAAAATATTGCGGGCTTCACTCACACACACACACACAATGTGCGGTTTGTGAAATTCTGAAGGCTTGTTTTGGAGAGGCTTGGTGTTAGTACCTGACTCTCTCTCTCTCTCTCTCTCTCTCTCTCTCTCTTTTCCCCCCTCATCTCCCTTTAAAAATCAGCAAATCCATTCGCTAAACATCTGCACCTCTGTACTGAACAGATAACAACCTGGGCCAGCCCAGCTCTGCAGCGAGTCAAGGCTGATAGGCCCAAATCTCTGGCCTTTTTTTTTGTTTTTTTGAAAATGCTAATGACGGAGAAACACGTCCCAAGCCAAAAGCGCTCTTGTAGATCTGTCAATTGCTATTTTGACAGATATTTGCTTGTAAGTACACACAACACTTGTTCCCCGTGTCTTATCTGCGGCGCTGCAGAACACTGACCTACATTGCATCAAGCACAATATGATGCACAAACCCGCGCT